GTTCAAGGCCAGCCTGGTCTGCATAGTGAGTTCCAGAACAGCTGGGGCTACAAGGAGACCGTGTCTCAAAAAGACAAAAAAAAAAAGACAAAGAATATCTACGTCACCCACGGAGGGGACTGGGAGGACACTGGTTGCGACATAATCTAGGATCACCTGGGAAAGGAGGCTCAGTGAGGAGTTGTCTAGATCAGGTTGGCTTGTGGGCATGTCTGTGAGGGATTACCTTAATTATGTTAATAGAGGTGAGATGACCCGCCCACTGTGGGTGACACTGTTCCCTAGGTTTGGGTCCTGGACTGTGTAAGAGTAGAAAAAGCTAAGCGTGCGTGAATTCACTTTCTGTCTGCTCTTGACTATGGATGTGGCCCTTGACTGCCCGGCCATGAAGGACTGTGACCTGGATTTGTGAGTCAAATAAACCCTTTCTCCTCTACATTGCTTTTTGTCAGGACAGTCTATCACACAACAGAGATCAAGCCAGAAGACCCAGCATGGCACGGACCTCTTTGGCGCCAAGTGCTGCGCTATGTGACTTCCAGTCGGACTCAATTACTGACGTCTTTGAGAGAACAAGACACCATGAGACTGCATCAAACCACCAACCTTCTCGCTAACTCTGCCCACCTAGGCTCCGTGCCCTGGTTGGGACGTGGGGGGTGGTGTCTTGGCTCCCCTAGGTATTGGGACTCTGAAGTGCCTGGGGTCGGGGCAGAGGGCTTAAAAACGGAGCTCTATGCTCCTGGCTCAGAACTGTGTACAGGTCCGAAGACTGTCACAGGTCGTGTTTGTCAGCCCGTCTGGTGGGAGCCAATGTTCAACACTGTGAGGCGTTGCCAACTTGAACTGGGGCATCGGTGTTAGGGCATGACATGGCTGGAGAGGAACCTGAGGAGGGCCTGCATGGCCCAATGAGACAGAAAGGGTAAGGCAAGCAGGCGTGTCCTTGTAGAGGGCACCGCACCCCCACCTGTGAGGCAAATACCTCCAGGAAGGCGGAGAAGAATGCAGAATGGAGGTGTCAAAAGCTGCTCACCCAGTTCTGTCACCCAGTTCCCGCTTCTCACTCTGTGGTCTGGGGAGGGGCTTGGGGAGGAGGGGATGGGGACACGGAGAGGAGCAGGGCCATAACCCCTGCAGGGTCCAGGACTCACCTCCCACCACGGGGAGTCTGGGTCTCCTCGCAGCAGCTCGATCACATCCCCTGCCTGGAAGGTCAAAACGGGCTTCCCGGGAGGGACCGGGTTGCCATGGTAATTCTGCACAGCAACCATCCTGGGACCTATAGACAATGCAATAGTAGGGGACAGTCACTGGTGACCTTGTCCTTGCTGGAAGCCCACCCCATCACTAACCCTTTCTGGTCTCTGGGGCCTTTTGGTGAGACCATCTCCCGACACCCAGACACAGGAGCCAGCCTTGCCCCTCCCACGACTTCCCATATGTTCCCATGTATTTTTGATAAATATCTTAAGTAAATTATTCAATAAACAGATGCCAGAATATTCTAGTAACAGCTACTTATTTTTAGACAGAGCTTTGTGTTTCTCCCAGACACCACTGAGCTCGGATTTACAGCATGAAATGAGGAAGGGTGGGATCCTCATGTTAGAGATGGGGGTGCCACAGAGCTGGTGAGGCAGGCTTGAGACTGAAACGGAGGTACAGGTCGAATCCCTGAGAACCTTGGGTCTCCTCCAGTGGAGCCCTCTCTGTTCTGCCCCAGCCCTGCCCCAGGTACTGAAAGATGCCATAGCCCGTCCTGCTGGGCCTGGGAGCCGGTGGCCCAGCAGGAGTAACATCTGGATGGGATTTGGGTTTTCCCTGACGAAGCTGAGACTTTCTTTATTCGGAATGTGAGGCCTTAACTTTGCCTGTTTTCACAGCCTGAGCGCCCAAACCAGCAGAGCAGGGGTGAAGTCTCAGCAAAAGGACGGGGGGCCCTGGGCTTCCTGCCCCCTCGGGTCTCAGGCAGTAGCAGCCTGGTGGTGCTCTGAGCTGAGTGGAAGGGCCACTGGCTCTCCACAGGCTGATCCCGTCCCCACAGCCCAATGCTACTTGATCAGAGCCCACGCCAACCAGGGGAAGCAGCCATGCAGGCAGGAGAGGCCACGGCCCAGTGCTGTCACCAAGCCCAGGCCCAGCTTGTCCCGTGGCCACTGATATAGATAACAGCAGAGGTGGCCAGATCCCGCACACTCACCCGGTCCTGCTCCAGACGTGTCCTGTGAGGACAAGGACAGACAGTTAGGGGACTTTGGTCCCCATAGCAGCACGCCCCCATGAAAGGGTCAAGGCAGGAAGTGGAAGGCAGGGTCACATCTTGACCTACAGGAGATGTCTGTAATGCTGTTCCCCTCCCTCAGTGCTCAATGTGGCCTTTACCCTGTGCTGTCTTCACCCTCCCATTCCTCACTCCTAACTCCTGCCTCCTCCAAGAAGCCTGCCCTACCACCCCTAAGCCTCCCACCTGGATGTTCCCTATGGAAAACACACCACAGCGCTGAGTGGTGAAGGCACCTCTGTGACCTTGGAAGGCCTGGTAAGTGTCCACTCAACGCTGCCTAATGGGGCTAGACTCCCCAGCCTGTATAAGACACGGTGTCATGGCCCCATAAAAACATCAGTGACCTGTCCTATGTCCATGCTACCAGCAGAGCCACTAGCTGACATGTGGCAGGAATGCTGTGCCACAGAGCTGCAAGCCCAACTCAAGGGCCCTGGGCATGTAGAGTGAGTGAGCGTCTGGGACAGGCACCAGCTACCAGGTCTCTGGAGAGTCACGCAAAGGGACCTACTTCCAAGCTGCCATGACCCCAAGGAATGGGAAGAGTTGGGGGAAGAGGGAACTTACCAGGTCCGCAGGGGAACCTGCAAAGGAAGAAAATCAGGAGTCAGAGTGGATGCTGTGATAGGACGGTGCTTCTCCAATTCTGGTCCCCATGTCAGCAGGACATCATGGAAGGGTCAAGGCAGGAAGTGGGAGGGTAGAGTCACATCTTGACCTCCAATAGTTGTCTGTAATGCTGTTTCCTTTCCCTCTGCCCAGTGCTCACACGGGAGGTCAGCTGAACTGCACAGGGCCCTTTCAGAGGCCAATCACCCAGTCTCACCTCTATGAAAGTCCTGTGGTTGACCCTAACAGCAACTTCTGGGTTCTGGCTTTAGGGAGCCAAAGGGAACTCATCCTGGAAGTCATACCTGAGCTAGCCCGGGCTTTTCTACCTGGGACAACTGTTTGAATGACAGCAACCATCAGGGTCAGCTGATGGTGTCTGGGAATCACAGGGCAATTTCCACACCAGCTTCACACCTCAGTTCTTATAGTGCTCGTTTTGACCCATGGTGAGGTACAAGCCCAGCCTGGCAGATGGTTGAGGCACATCTTTCCTCCCACATGATAGCCAAATGACCCTCATCTGTGAGCATGCTGGAGGGTCTTAGAGGAGGATGGCCCCAGGGGTCATGCACACCCATCTCTGCATCACCTGCCCGTGGCAGGTATCACTAATCGGGTGTGGAAATTGCCCTGTGATTCCCAGACACCATCAGCTGACCCTGATGGCTGCTGTCATTCAGATTGCTCTGGAATTTCACACCTTCCACAAACCCTTGGCACACACTACAGCTCAGAGGGCAGGTGAGGCAGGTAAACAGCAATGTCCCAGGGACATCTCAGTCTACCCTGCCCAATGAAAGGTTCTGGGAAGTGGGCTGGTGTTACCCTGGGACAGCCTGGATCCCACAGGGCCACACGGTCCACCTGTTTTGATGGTGATGCTGTCACAGCTCAGAGGGGAAGGCCAACCAAGGCCAGAGAAGCACTGCCCAGAGCTGAACTGACTGGAGAGGAAAGAGCTTAGACACAGTCCACGGGAGCTAGAAGCAGCCAGGACATGACAGCATCTCCTAGCAGAAGGACAGAAGGAACTTCGACATATGCCCTTGGAGAGTCACGGGCCCCTGAAATAATGCCTGGTACCTGACAGGGGTCTTAACAGTAAGGCTAACATGGGCTCTCAGGAAACCAGAAACTGCCTCTCTGTCAGGAGGTCAATGATGTAAGAAAGAACCAAATCCCTAAGGGGACCCGGGGGCCAGGCAGGTGTGGACCCTGAAGGAAGAACCCCACCTCCCAACCCGCCTCCATTCTTCTCTTATGCCACCCCCTCAAATTTTCTGGTAAGTATGCTAACTTTTAGAAAGACACTGTGGCAGTTACTGCACACCACCACAAGAGGGTGGTATTGACAAAGCGGAAAAGCCCTGTCCAGATTTAGGAGTCGAGAACCCAGACATGGCCAAGGTGGGCTATGGTGGGGACAAGCGGTCTAGGCGGCCCGGACAGCCTCCTCTGACTCAGAGCTCTGGGTCAGCAGCATTCAAAGAATCTAGCAAGTCCACCACTAATCCAAGTTCAAGGCTTAAAATATATTTTGGGTGACAACCTGGCCTAACATGTTTTCTTCTAGAATAACTGACAGGATAGACAACCCAAGGACAGACTATGGAAACAGAGGCCCTCTGGTCCATGGAGGCTCCATCAAAGGCATTTAGATGAGTCCATGAAATTATAAGCCTCAGTTTCTAGGACTGATGGAGGGGGTATCTCCTGAACTAGGAGAAAGTCAGAGTCCTCTGGGTGCTTTCCTGTGTGTCGGTTGTATGTAGCATGACACAGCATCAACCCCAAGAGGTGGTGAGGACCAGGGCCACCCACCCAAAACACAGTAGTGGAGCCTGGTGCTCGACAGGTGCCCCAACCTGTGCTGGGATACAAGTCAGAGCACATCAACACTACGTCTGCCTTCATAGGGTGTTTCCGGTTAGAGGGCTCTTCTAGCATAGGTGAGGCCCTAGGTAGGTTCTGCCCCAGCATTGCAGAGAGAGAGAGAGAGAGAGAGAGAGAGAGAGAGAGAGAGAGAGCGCTCTATGCCAGTCTCACACCCAAACTCACTGTTCAGCAATGCCCTGACATCTCTCAGAACTGTCATGGCCTTCTGACTGCTGTTCAGCCATTGTGAGTTGGGACATGCCATGCAAAACCCCAAATGCACCCCCAAATCAAACACATCAGAAGAGCCTCCAGGCCCAGCACCTGCTCCTGTCTACATCCAGCAAGACTCAACCTTAAGCCCTGCCTGAGCCTCAAACAACCACAAGACGTAGCCGGGCATGGTGGCGCACGCCTTTAATCCCAACACTTAGGAGGCAGAGGCAGGCGGATCTCTGTGAGTTCAAGGCCAGCCTGGTCTAGGACAGCTGGGGCTATAAGGAGACCCTGTCTCTCAGAAAGATTAAAAACAAAAATGAAAAGACATGCTGCATGTACCCTGCACGTGGTACATGCCCGGTCATGCACGTTTGGGTCAGCCATTCACTAGCCTGGCTATGACCGCAAATGGCTAGTTCCCGCCTGGTGTGAGAGCCAAGGGCCCAAGCTAGTGGGGGTCCACGGTGGGAAATCGTGTGCCCACTTTGGCGGATATGCATCAGGGGAACCGCAGACGTGCTCTTGGAATGGGGCAGAGGAACAGGAGAAAGAAAAGTCCTCAGGTACTGATCAGCTTTGGAAAGGGACCCCTCCCGGGTCTGCTTCCCAGTGAGCCTGCTGGAAGCTGCTGTCCTCTGGTCTTAGCCTCAGTTCCTCTCATCTGCCTCTCTGCTGAGGCACAGTACTGGGGCGGGTTGAAAGGCAGGTGCAAGTGGTCCCCACACTCAGGGCCTCGGGGTAGAGGGCCCATGTCTACATGCAGGTGCGTACTTACTGATCTTGCAGGGGGGCATCACCTCCAGGCACTCTTTATGTGCCCCAACGCCACACCTGGTGCACAGGTAGCCCTGGTAGAATGTGCCCCTGTGTGGGGGAGGGCAGAGGTGAGGTGGGGGCTGCAGCTCCTTACACGCACTGTCAGCACTCTGGTCCCTACCTCTGGGTTCATCTGGTGATCCCTCCTGAAGCATCTAGGTCCCCCTCCCTTTCCAGGAGCATCTGCTCTCCCATGACCACCCTAGCCTGGCCCCTCACCCCCACAGCCCCCACCAGGGACCAACCCCCTCTGCTGGTCTGACTGCCTAGGCTTCTGACTTTATTGGGTAGCCCCCTAATCCTCTGAGGCCTCAACACTGGGTTAAGGTGGGAGGTCAGAGGCCATGGGGGGGGTCACAGGGAAGCAAGTACAGAGAGCCCTGGGGCCAGGGAGGATGCAGGCGGGGTAGGCAGAGGAGACCCACCTGAGGAACATCTTGCAGGCTTTGCAGTTGGTGGTCTTGTCAAACGTGTACATCTGGAAGCTATGGTGGTTGGCATTGGCCTTGTCTGGCTTGATGTTTGACCTGGTGGAAGGAGAGGGCGGGCACTGCAGTCAGGCTCCCGGAGCCCACTGACACAGGGCAGCTGCATAAGGACCCCAGCTGAACAATCCAGGAGGCTGTTCTCCAGCCTGCTCTCCCTACACACAGCAGTGGGGAGACTGAGGGCAGGAGGGGAAGGTCTTAATTGTGCCATGCTGGCGCGGGAGTGCTTGCCAGCTGAGGCAAACGGTTCTTAAAAATGGCCTGGCAGTGGGTAGCTGTGGAGATCTGTCAAGCTCAGCAAGTGTACACCGTTTGTCCCCTTGTCTCGAGTTTTACTTTCTGAGGTTTCAGTTACCCACAGTTCAACAAGCCTAAAAATGTTGTATGGAAAAGTTCCAGAAACGAGTGGCTTATAGCTTCCACACTGTGTGTGCTACCCACCCGTTAATCGCTCAGCGGCCAGCTGGTATCAATCAGATCAACTGTCACAATTCCACAACACTGTGTTCAAGGACTCTTATTTTACTGAACATGATGCTTGCAAGCGTGGTGACTGGCAATTTCATCACAATCCATCATGCAGCTGTCCTACCTCGTTCTTGGCTATGGATCCTACTGTCTGTGATTTATACAGTGGACCTGACTATAGGTCTGCACGTTTAGGAAGGTCTGGTGGTTTCAGGACTCAGCTGTGGTCTTGTCTTGCAGTGCTAGGGCAATTAGGTGAAGACCTGCACTTCATTGTTTTAAACCCTAAACAAGCATGGAATTGTGAGCTTATGATGGGTCCTGAGGCGCTAGAGGCCCACCCTGAGGCCTGCAGTTCACTTCTGTCTTCCCCGCTGTGAGATGGGAGAAGGCAGGACAGATGGTCAGCAGAAAGTAAGACACAGAAGTATGTGCCAAGGCCTCCCAACTTGAAGTGGATACTCGGTCGGTCGTATGACGTTTTTGTCGGTGAACACTTGAAATTGCTAACAGCACAATACTCGGCAGAAAATTTCAACCCACGGAAACTGAGCAGTAGAGGAGATGCCCGGGATTCCCACATGCAGAACACAGACCAACGGGCAGCCGTCGTCTGGTACGCTGGCCCTAATCCAGTCCCAACACCTGTTCTTCACCATGTAGGAAGCCCCAGGGAGTGGTGCCCCCGCCTCTTGGGTCCCCTCGCCAAACTGCTGCAGAGCCAAGCACACACCCACACCCTCCCTCTGCCTTCATTAGCTTTCTCTGCTGTACATGTTGGGGTTCCCCTCAACCTCAAAGGAAGAGGTTCTGAGACTTTCAAGCAAAGACCAAGCCCCTGTGAGCCCTGAGGATCAGTCACCAGGTGTCACTTCTGGCCAGTCCTGCCCAGATGTCAAGTGTGTGAGCTCAAACTTAATGGAGGCCCATTCTAGGACCTGGGACAGCTGGGAGACAGTTAAAGAGCTAGGGCCCTACTGAGCCGCTGGTGCCCTGTGGGGAAGGAGTTGTTCTCAGACCCAGCACCGCAACTGCCTCCCACCACCCCTGTCTGAGAGGGCCAGCAGGCCAGATCCAGCTGGGCCGGGCCACTGCCTACTCACATGGCCATCTCGAACTGCTCCATCCACTTCCTCTTCATGTCCTCCGTCTTGCAGAAGAACTGGAAACCCTGCTTTCCCTGGAGGTGGATCAGGTAGAAGCCGTAGGACCACTGTGGGGACACGGACATGCTGCCAGCTGGCATGGCTTGGGGCACTGAATGTGCACACGCATGCCCGTGTGTGTGTGTGCACATGCGTGCCTGTGTGCATCCTTGTACACACATGCATCCTTCCACATGTGAGAATGTGGGTGCACCTGAGCCCTTGTGAGTGCCCTCATCTGTGCAGGTGCAAAGGAACATGTGCCTGTACATGTGACTGGCTGTGTGTGTAACTGCACATGGTCCTGTGTCTGTCCCTGGACATGAATATGTTCTAATGAGTGTCATGTGCACTCATGCCTGAGTCTGGGTGTCCATAACACTCCTATGTGTGAATGTCATGTGTGCTTGAGCTCTGATCTATGAGTCATGTTCTGCACATGGACCTATGTGCAAGGGCAGTCTGCTGCACGTGTACATGTGTACGTGGAGGCCCTGCTGTGCATACATGGAGGCCGTGCAGTGAATACATGCATGTAAGCAGAGACCCTACGGAGAGTACATGTATGTATGCATGGATCCTGCTGTGCACGCATGTATGCATGTGGGAATCCTGCTGTGTACACATTTATGTATGGAGGGGGCTCTGCTGTGTGCACATGTACAGGAGTGGAGGCCCATGCTCAGGGCCCACCCTCTAACACAATAGCCCAGCTCTTCTTCACCCCTTTATGGGGCCCCTGAAACCCATGTCTCTGCTGTCAAGGGGCTCCCCAGAGACTGCATGCCCAGGAAGCAGCCTAGGGCCCTTCCATAAGCTGTCGACCCCCACATTTTTTGAGGTGAAACAAGGGGGAAAACAGGCTGGGGTCAGAGGGCTGTGGGCCTGGGAGCCCTCGGCTGAGCAACACAGCCACCGGTAGGCCTGGCCAGTTCTCCAGGCTTAAGGAAAGGGTTTCCAAAGAGCTCCGGGGGGGAGCAAAGGGAAAGAGGGCGAGAGAGGAGGGAGGGAGGGAGGAAAGGGAACGAAGGGGAGAAGGAGGGTGCAGGGCAGAGATCACGCAGCCCTGCCTGCCAGTGTCCCGTGACCTCTGACCTTCGCCAGAGGAAAGGCAGCAGGCTTCAAGGTCACACCTTCTATAAATCAAGTCTTTTGTCACTTTCATGATTAAGTAGAGAGAAACTGGGCATGGTGGTGCACACCTTGGTGGATCTCCATGAGTTCAAGGCCAGCTTGGTCTACATAGAGTGTTCCAGGCCAGCTGGGGCGACAGGGAGACCCTGTCTCAAAAAGACACACTGCCCCCACCCCTCCACCCATTAAAAACAAAAAGTAGAATGGGGCAGGGTAAAGGGAGGGCGAGGAGAGTGAGTCCAGTCTGCTCAGGCCCAGGGAGCCCCAGACCCACAAGCACAGAGGGGCCAGCGCAGCACCAGGCGGCACTGAGGGGAGGAGGGCTTACCATCTTCCCATGAGACTAGGAAGCATGAGGAGGAAAGGAAACAGGGAGACAGGTCATTAGGAGGCTCGGCAGCCTGGGGACGCTGACAGGTCAGGATGGCAGGAAATAACCCCTGTCGAACACTCTGGGCTGTCCTCCCCAAGAGGAAAGGCTTGACCAGGAAGTCCTGGGCTTGGAGAGCGACCTCAGTCACAGCCTCCTATAATCCAGCTGCTCACTACAAACACCAGGGCTGGGAGGGGCCGGGACACGCTGGGACTGCCCCCTGCATGGGGTCTTGCTGAAAGTTAGGGCCTTCAGCAGCTGGGCCCCTGCCCCCAACCAGGCCCAGGGCTGCACACAGGAGGTGCTCAGGGGCTGTGTGCAGAAGCCTCAGATGAAGCAATACTGAACCAAGACGGTCTGCTTTCCCCACACCCCTCCCCTACAACGACCCCGCCTGCTGCCATCACAGCCCCGCCCCTGCAGCCAGGGTCCTAGTCCACTGGACTTTAGAGCCTCTGACAAGCCAGGCTCATCCCTGGCTGGCCTCCAATCAAGGCAGGATGGGACGGGAAGGAGGCCTACTTGTTACAAAGGACAATAGGGAGTTAGAGTCAGGCCAACTAAGACTAAAAGTCAAGGTTGAAAGCTAAGCTCTCACTGGGGCCCCAACAGGGCCTCTCTCTCTGCTTCTGGGGATCTGGGATGCTGAGGGTGCCCTCTGCCTCAGTGGCAAGGAGGGAAGAGTCTTCCTGAAAGGTCAGTGGTCCACACATCCAGCAGGCTCAGCCTCCGTGACACCAGATGCACTGCCCCCGGGGTTAGGGCCCTGTGCCATGCGAGCCCCTTTTGGGGTGTGGCCCACCTTCTTAATGTCCTTGTTGTGCATGGGGTCGTCAGTCATCTTGTGGAAGAGCAGCTCAATGACCTCCTTCAGCTCATAGCTGTAGCCCTTCCGCTTACACACGATGACCACCTTATCGAACAGGAACAGGTACCTGGGCAGACAGGGCACTGGGCGTCAGGACAGCCACGCTCTACGTGGAGAGGTGGCACTGCGCTGGGAGTGTGCCCTCTCCAACACCAGCAAGTCATCCCTGAGGCCACAGCTTGCATGTCAGGAATCCCCACCACCTGCCTGCCCACTCGAGGGTCACTTGGTAGAGAGTTCATACGGCCGCTCAGTCAGCCCCAGCTCCCTGGAGGCTGTGAGCTGTTAGCCAGACACACCCCCTCCCCATCCCTACCTTTTGGCTGCCCCCCAAGTCCAGCCCAGTGCCCACCACAGGATGGCAGTGCCTCTGTGTGGCCGCTGCTGGCTGAAGTGGCTGATCATAGGGGCTTGTGCCGAGAAGGAAGGAAGTAATTAAAACGGCTGCACAAGGCCTGCAGTGCAGTTGTTCTTTCCCCAGGAAGGTCTATCCTGAGCCACTTGGGAGCGGGTTCCCTGGACCGGAGGGCCAGTCTGAGATGGGGTGCCACTGCCTCCTGCTCACCTGTCCTGCTTGGTGTGGTTGACTATGGACCGGACTTTCAGCTCCCCGTCAATCTTGGGCCTCCCAAATTCCTCCAGCTTCACTTGCTGGGAAAGAAAAGCCAAAGCCATCAGCTCGAGGGAGCCATGTGCTTTCTTAAGACAGGGAGGCTGGTGGGCACATGCTCAGGGCAGGGTCCTGAGATCCAGCGTGAACTAGGCAAGTGTGCCCACAGCGATCAGGATGATGCTCAGAACAGGGGAGCCCAAGGCCAGGAAGGAGCCCGGCCAAGCCTGTCCCCTCCCGGTGGGCCCCAGTGCAGACTCCCTTGAGTCCTGGGAACAAAGGGCGATTGACAGCCTGGTCACGCTCACAGACGGCTGTTGTGTGGAGCCCAGAGCAGTAGGAAAAGCCAGACGCCTAGCCCTGAGACAGAAAATAAAAGAGAGCGAGCGAGCGGCACTGTTGGATCGAGTGGAGGCCACAGCCGGGGTCCTGCCAGCCGTTCATCTTCCACAGGAAGAAGGCTCAAGCCCCATCCCAGCCACTGGGCTGTGGAGATTCCATTTCCTGTTCTGCTTGGACTGGGCCTTTGCTGTTCTGTTTTGATCCGGAGAGATTCTGCCCCTCCACCATTCCCTATGTAGCTTTCAAAGGACGAGTCTATACAGGCAGGAAAAGGCAGAGGAAAGTTCCACAGAAAGTTCCGTATGGAGTGGCTGTGCTCGCGGGCAGCCAAGACAGGCCTGACAATATCATTCCCAAGTTCCCTGCACTTTGTGAAAGCTGCCGAAGGCAATGTCTAGGGCTGGCCTTGCGGCACAGAGTGGCGCGCACACATCTGCTCGGGGATTCTTCCATCACTCAGGGCACAGAACAAATGTACTGCCTTCACCTAGAGAGGCACCAGGGCTGGGCATGGTGCGGGGAGTGGGGCCACATCCCAGGAACGCCAGCACGCACCAGCCCGTGTTGTCTACTCTTGCTTCTGTTGTTCTGGGCCAGGGCTTCTTGGATCCCAGGCTAGCCTCAAAAGCACTGTGTAGCCAAGGAGAGCTTTGAACTCCTGATCTGTCAAGTGCCGGGACTATAGCTATGCAACACCAAGACCAGCTTTTTCAGGGTCTCACGCATGCCGGGCAAGCACTCTACCAACTAAGCTACAGCCAAAGCCGTTTTCTTGTTATTTAAAATGCAGATGTGGCTCATGGGAAAAACAAATTCCCTCATGTCACCAAAGGAATGCTTGTCACTGGGCGGTACTTGGAAAGCACAGGTAATGGGCAAGAGGCCTGGACCCCACTAACACTCATGCTGAGACCAAGACCTTGCTTAGAAATGCACACGGACACGAGGTGGGATCGAAACAATGCTCAGCGACTTTTTGTTCATGGCACAGATGTCTCCCGACATCCTAGGTCTGCAGAGGGCTCTTCTGTGGGCAAGAACAGGTATGTGGGACACCCAACTCCTGACAGTAAGAATCACCAGGGACAAGACAGTAGCTTTGGATCAGGGTGATCATGGGACCCTTGGGCATCTGGCAACAGCTGGAGATGCAGTTGGTGATCATCACTGGGAGCCAAAGGTGCTATTGGTATGTGATGGGTTGTGGCAAAGGTGCTCAACTTGCCCTAGGGTGCAGGCCTGTAATACAGACAGATCCAAGCTGCACATGTACTAAGCAGTATCTGAGCCCAGAAATGCCTAGTGTCTTCTCCCCAGCTGACCTCTAAGGGAGCAGCAGGCTGGAGCGGGTCCAGATGGTGTCAAGCCCTGCTTGATGGAGTCCCAGGAGGAGGGGAGAACTGAGGGGCAGTTCTCACCCCCAAACCAAACCCTGTTCATTGCCCCTCCTGGGGATGCTGAGATTGATAGGGAGAGAGGAGGGCCACAGACCAGGAGGAGCCTTTGCCCCTGGGAGGCAGAGAAGGGTCTGGGTTGTTGAAAAAACCTTTCTCCCCTCTCCTTGGCCCTGCTCACTGCAAAGCGCTGTCTTCAGGGCACAGGGGGGTGGGCTAAAGTGGATGAAGGCCCACAGAAGCCGGGGCTCATGTCAAATTCAGAGCACTCTCCCTAACCCCAGGGGGCGGACATGGTGTCCCACGTTCCCTCTGCTCAACCACAGCCTTCACAGGAAGCCGTCACAAGCCCACACAGGCGAAGACCTGCCCGCTTACCAGGTTCTCTATGGAACTCTGGAACTCACTGATCTTCTTCAAAGTCTCTTTGTCCCGTTTCACTTCGTTGATGTACATGGCCAAGTCCTGGAAATCAAAAGACGGGATTATCACACCAAGTCCCACAGGGTGAGCTCTAAGTCCCTACCCGGCCCAACGCTGGGCATTCGAGCCTGAATGTCCTCAGTCTTGGCCGGGGTGGCTGAAACTGCAGGCACTGAAGGCAGGAAACACCACATCTATGTGACGAGAGAGCTAAGGCAGAGAACACAGCATGCAGACTCAACGCAGGCCACTAGTGGCCCCTGTAGCAGCTCCCTCACTCGATGGGCTTTCAGAGTCAGAACAGAGGAAGCACCCCACGTGGATGAGCGACAGCCTGGACCAAACCACCCCTCTGCTCTCGGGAAGCCCAGGCTACAACCTCCCCTCAGAGCCCGGGTAAAATGAACACTAAGTTCTTTCGGTGTCCCGACACAATGCCACAATCCTCCTGCCAGCCACCAGGGGGCAGTGCTAACTTTGCTGCAGAAAGTTAGCAGCAGCCTAGACACGGGTGCCCAACAAGGACTGGAGTAGCATATGATCCTGCCCATCACCGTGAGCAGGGAGGAAATCCCCCAAACATAAGGGCCAGCCCACATCCTGGAGTCGGTTCCCAGCTCCCACATGGCCTCCCTTGCTTCCGGGGCCACTTCACGGTCTATACCCCAAGCTCTAGGCCTGGCGGGGCTAAAGTTCCCTACCAGAAGCAGCACTGAATTCTTATAAAGGGTGTTTTGCATTCTAACCCAATAGCCTTTAAAGGAGGATTAAACTCCCAAAGAACACAACAGCCAGGGCAGACCGAACATGTGCAGACAGGCAGGCCCCTGTGTACACCTGGCTACGGCACCAGGACCCCACACCTGGGATGGGGAGACTCCCAGGGAGATAGCCATGACAGGACAGCCGTTAACAGAGGACACAGCCTTGAAGGGACTGATCGCTGTGACCCGTACACGGAAATGGAGCCGGGGGCAGTGACGGCTCACACGCTGGTAGAATGACTGATTTCCCGCTCTACACTGGGGACAGACTTAAAGGCTCTTAGATTCCCTTCCCATTCTGAAGACCTAGGAGGTGGTTCTGTGGCTCTCACTGACGTGAAGGGCACAGCCAGGAGTCAGAGTTCTGTGGAACGTCAGTGACACTCGGGGGAGTTGTCCAGTGAAGGGCTGGGGAGCTGCCTGTGGGCTGGTGACTGAGTGATGATGTGAGGCCAGGCTGGGGGGCTCAGGGCACATCTGCAGCCGTGGATCACTAGCCCTGGGGATGAATCACTGCCACCTGATTGTGTCGACAGTGGAAAGACATGGCGGTCCCTCTCCTGCAGTGGTAGGTGATCTCAGTGTCCCCAGAGGATCCAGCCAAGGGTCCCTGTGATCACCCATGGCACCCATGCTCAAGTACACCCACAATTAGGGCAAGTTTCTCAACGTACAGGTGGCCTGCTAACAGGTGGTGCATTGTCCTTACTTCCAACATTCAGGAGGCAGAGATGGGCAGATCTCTGTGTACTCGAGACCAGCCTGGGCTACATGAGTTCCAGGCCAGTCAGGGCTACATAGTGATATCCTGTCTCAACAAAACCAAACCAAACCAGGGCTGAAGAGATGGCTCAGTGGTAAAGAGCACTGACTGCTCTTGCAGAGGGCCTGGGTTCGATTCCCAGCACTCACATGGCAGCTAACAGCCTCTAGTTCCAGGGGCTCCAATGCCCTCTTTTGACCTCCGTGGGCATTGCACGACACAGGTGCACCTACCTACATGCAGGCCATACACTCACACACATTAAACAACAAGCCAAAAAGCCCAGAAAACCCCAGGTAACTGTGAGCAGCAGCACCGTCCCCACTGCCTGGCAGCTGTGTGGGAGACAGGCTGGAGCTCTTCCCTCTTCGAATGGGGTGTCCTGGGAAAGGAGGGGTCCAGAGCACTGCTCAGAGGCAGGTGTCAGAGGTCAAGCCTGTGGCTACAAGGGGGAGGTTGAGGGAGCTGAGCTGTCAACCTCTATCACATGGTAGTGCTGAGGGGCATCACACCAGGCCTAGGACACAGACCTGGCTTGGGGGAGGCTGCCGGTGCCTGGCGGAAGAGATCTGGAAGGTGACTTCCCTGAGCAGGGTCAAGTTCATGGCAAAGACGGGGAATGAATGTGTCACAGCGGGTGACGAGGACACAGCCTGAGCAGACGCCGCCAAGTGGAAAGCACAGTCTTACTAGGAACCCAGGAGTGGTCAGGCTTGCCTGGAACCTGGGGCTTTCCGGGTACGCACAGCTCCAAGGACCCTGTAGAAGGCCTGGAGAACAGGGTGAGGAGCCAGGCCTGGTTCAGAGAGCAGTGGGAGCCAGGAAGGGTTCTGAGCAGGGCGGTGTGGCGAGCTGAGCTTTCAGGACAGTGGGTTGTCATGGCCTAATGGGACATGGCTGGATAGGAGCCATCTAGGCAGGTGACAGGGGAACAGGGATGGGAACAGACCTTCGGCAGCAGAGGCCCCAGGGGAGCCAGTGCCTGGGAACCACTGGTGGCCCCGGTGGACAGTCTGGAAAGCAGGAGGCGGGGGCAGTGATCACTGTTGACGACTGAAGTTAAGAACTTGGACACAGAAGGCGCCTGGCCTGCAGCGCCCTCTACTGTCCTGTGAGTCGAATGTCCTGCATGTGCTATCCTAGGCAAATGCCCTCAGTCACCATCGTAGCCTCCCAAGATGCTCAATTCACGTCCAGGAACACAGGCACGCTGGCCTGGGTGCTCCCCCTGCCCTGCCTCAGTTCACCTACCTGCATGGCTTCCAGAGCTTCTTTGAGCTGCTGCCTTTCCGGCCGATCTGTGGAGTGGCTCAGGAGTTCCTGTGGGAGTAAGAGGAGACCTAGTGTCAGCTCTCAGGGGCTCCAACTCTACCTACACCTAGTGCAAGGTGTGCACAGAGCGAGGCCCTTGGGACAAAGTCACCCACCAGCCCAGGTGCAAGTTCATCTGCCTAACTCTAGTAGACACAGGGACCCCTCACACAGGGGACGCCTCACTTCCAACAAAGGTGTCCCTAAATCTTTCGGGTAATGGAGGGGCTTATTATGGGAAAGAAACTAGGGTCATAAAAAGAAAAGCCCTGAGGTTGACTCTTAAAAGAAACTTGAAGGCACCGCCTATCTTCCCTCCCAGGTGTGCTGCACTTTACTACAGCTTCCAGGAAGTTCACGGACACAGATCGCAAACTGCGGTAGCTCTCCTGGTCTGAGGATGCTTATCGGCCTCTCCCCACTTTCCTGACTTTGTTACTGGCTTTGGTCATAATGTTCCTGTCCAGTTATTGTGATAACCTTTCAGAGTATGTATCGAACACACACACATACTCATTTATCAACCTATGTGTGCTCAAGGCTGTCTGTGGGCTAAAACGTCCATGCCCCTGGAGCCCAGGTGACCGGTGTGCAGGGGGTGGCTGGTAGCCTCACCTTGAGTAGGAGATGGTATTTCAGCACACGCTGCATGGGCACCACCAACAGATCTTGCAGCTTGAACTTGCCATCCTGCACCTTGAGCGTGCACTCCTGGCACGGGAGAACAATGACGGATGGGGCTGGGGCTCCCTGACCCCAATTCTGGTCATCTGGGTAGAGGAACCTCAACCCAGCTCCCTCAGCCTTGTTCTGGTGTGTACGTGAGGTGGGTGTCATAGCCTGTAGGCGGGACATGCCACCTCTCACATCCAGGGCACTCAGTGGGGCCTGGGATTCTGAAGGACCCTTTGCCTAAAAGCGCTTCCTGGGGGCCAGGTCTTGTCTGAACAGGAGTCAGGACCTCTGGCCCAGCTCAGCAGTCTGCTGTCTGCTCTGTGAGAGGCCAAGTGGGAAAGGGGCTCACACAGGGCTATGGGGTCACTCCAGAACCTGGGGTCTACCAGACCTCCTGGATGAGAAGCAGAGAGTACATGCCAGCAAGCTTTGGAAACAGCTGTCCTGACTGCATGAGACAGACATTCCTGGATGACGGGGCAAGGAAAAGCCTGGGAGGGGCTCATGAGAGAATCGAGTTGATAGGTGAGCTCTGGGCACCGGGTAACGTCAGGAGTGGGCAGGAGGCCCAATGCTTCTAACAGGTCACCTAGGGTCCCTCCAGCAAACGAGGTCAGGGTCATGTGTCAAAGGCCCTTGCTAAAACAGACCTGGCCCCTCCCCAGCCCTCAGAGCTCAGGCTGTACTCTGGGACATGTTCTGGACCTCATCAAACAAAATACAAAGGCAAAAACACCACAAAACCAAAGACGGGTGTGAGGGAGGTTGGTGTGTCTCCAGGGCTCTAGCTAGGCAGCTGTGCCAGGCCAGGGTTACTGGAAAGCCTCATTACCTCCACTTTCTGCCTGAAGTCATCCCGGCTGGCAAGGAGCTGGTTCAATGTGCTCTGGGCATGTTCCATGTGGCTGCAGTACTCTCCATAGATCAGGAGTCTGGGGAGACAGCAATACTCACATGGTACACGGGCACAGCGCATACACAGGTTGGCACGGGTCAAGTAAGATGCTCACAGCTGCTGTGAGCCTGGATGGTACACAGGCATGTGAACACATACGTGCACTGCAGGACTACGATGCTCACAGCCACACTGTCCTGCCACCTCCTCGGGCAGCTAGAACTCCTCACGGTCACTGCCCCACATGGCTCTGCTCCCTCCCTGCCTCTCTCTCCCCCTTTTACAAGTATGCTGAAACCGTAAAGGAGCGCTCCCCACTTCCCAGTCCAAGGAGGCTGCCTGGTTCCACTCCATTGTGGAGAGAAGGCCCTGCCTCCCTCTCTGCTTGTCTCAGGTTTACCCCAGGGCTGTGCAAAATGGAGGAGACCCAAGGTGGCTCCTGTTGGTTCTGCGGGGTGTCAGTACCCACACCCAGAGGCTAAGCAAGGCCTATGTCCAGCGGGAGAAGCAGCAGGCGGGGTCCCAGCGGTCCAGCCGGCCCTGCCTTCTTCGTGTCCTCCCTTCTTTAGCTGTGGCTCACCTGGTTCCTGTCTCTCCCTGCCAAAAAATTCTCTTTGTAGAGCCTTTAACAGTGCTCTGTTGTCACCCTCCACCTGGGGTCCATGCACTGTCCTCAGGGATAACATCTCTACAGACCCCAGCACTCACAGCCTACACTTTCACTTATGTATGTATTTATTTTTATTTTAAGTGTATGAGTGTGTTGTCTGCACATGTGTAAGTGCACCTGTGTCATGCAATGCCCTCAGAGGTCAGAAGAGGGCATCGGATCCCCTGGAACTGGAGTTACAGATGGTTGTTAGCCGCCGCCTGGGTGCTTGGAATTGAACCCGGGTCCTCTGCAAGAGCAGTCAGTGCTCTTAACCGCTGCGCCATCTCTCCAGCCCCGACAGCCTTATCCCCTGACTACACAGGAGCCTGCGTAGGAGACCCTGCCCTGTGATGAGGACAAGGGCAATGGTAACCACCCCGCACTGGGCTACTGAAGCCTCGCTGACAGTATTAAGGGGCTGTTCTCCAAGCAAAGACACGCACGGTCACCGAGGCCCCAGGGAACCGCCTGAGACACCAGCTGATGAGTACCAGCCTGGTGGCCAGTCACAGGGCTTGTTGGGAGGCTGGGCTTATCCTCAGAGTTCCAGCCCCAGTGTGTGCTGCATCAAGGACTGACTGGGTTCCTCCTGAAAGGGCTCTGACAACTCTGGGATGGTCTCTGTTCACTACAACTCCTGTCCCCTAGGGCATCAGGCACTGGGCTGGGGCAGGTGGCAGGGCCTGCCACTGGCTAGACTTCTGCGGATGTCACTCAGGAAGAAGTGTGGTCAGTTCTTCTGTGGGCCCCAGGGTGACCAGGCTTCACCACATGGGCCTTTCTTGTCTCCGAGCTTTAGAATTGGACAATGCTCAGTCCTGTCTCAAACTCAAGAAGGCAGCAGGTGAGAGCACATTTTCTGGTGAGGATAAAGAGCTCAGAGCGGGAGCAGGCTCAGGTAACAGCTTTCAACAGGTTTCCCAGGCCTAGACAAATGATGTGGGCTCCTGAAGTCACAGATCCTGTAGGTAGATGCCTGTCTGAGTGTCTGGCACATCTCAGGCCTCCTGAGAGTTCCCTGGCACAGCCCATGGGGAGCACGAGGCTGAGGTTCCATGACGCTAAGAAAGGGCTTTACTGTGGACCCAGATGGGCCGCCCATCCAGGCACAGTGGGACCAAACAGCCATACATGGTGCCTGCTGGGACACGTCCCCACGTCTGCTTCCCTGCCTGGTGCGGCAGCCACATGCTGTCCAGGGATCTTACTGGGTGCTGCTCTGACCCCTTGTCTTTATTTCAATGAATCTATTACTAAACTGAAAAATGAAACAAAACTGAACACTTCTAGAGCAACTGAGTTTTCCTCTTTTTAGAAAACGGTTAAAAGCATTTAAGATCCCAGTAATGACAGAGGGGGATAGGAGAGGGACATTTGAGAGACTCGTGGCTAGTCTGCAGCTAGCTGGACAAGGCGTGGCTCCTGACAAACAGCTTCCCCCAGAGCTCATCATAGGCGCCTGGCGTCCGCGATGCTGAGGCCCTGGCTGGAAGGCCCCAGGTATAGCTGTCACCTCTTTGGTCAGACAGGTGTGGAGACTCAAGCTCACAGGGATTCAAACTAGTCACATCTGACCCTCAAATCACCTAACCACAAACCCACTTGATCCTAAATATAATCTGTGAGCTGTGCACTCTGATCCTACTCACAATGTCAGAACAGCCGGGAGGTCAGGAAGGCATGGGAATCCCAGCATCCCCCCGCCCCCCCGCAACACCATGGCCTTCTAAAAAGGTGCACCTGGGGCTTGGGGGTGATAAGCTTGGCTGGCAAAATCCTTGCCTTTCAAGCAGAGGACCTCAGGTCAATGCCCAGAGCCCACATAAAGATGTTAGACATGGTGGTGTGTATGCCCAGAGCTGGGAAGACAGAGACAGGACCCCCCAGCTGCCAGTCTAGCCAAATCGGTGAGTCCCATGTCCCAGCAAGAGACCCTGCCTCAAAATACAACGTGGAGGGCTCCTAAAGACTCACATCCGAGGTGGTTCTATGACCTCCACATGCCCCCCACCAAAGGTTGCTCTGGATTGTACAGTATGGAAGTAGGGGTGACCTCACCCTGGTCCAAGCATCCTATTATGTCTGGAGGTGAGAGGGCTGAAGCTGAGTGAGACTCCCCCAGGCGGGGGGTCCCCTCTAAAAACACCACAAAACCAAAGACGGGTGTGAGGGAGGTTGGTGTGTCTCCAGGGCTCTAGCTAGGCAGCTGTGCCAGGCCAGGGTTACTGGAAAGCCTCATTACCTCCACTTTCTGCCTGAAGTCATCCCGGCTGGCAAGGAGCTGGTTCAATGTGCTCTGGGCATGTTCCATGTGGCTGCAGTACTCTCCATAGATCAGGAGTCTGGGGAGACAGCAATACTCACATGGTACACGGGCACAGCGCATACACAGGTTGGCACTGGTCAAGCAAGATGCTCACAGCTGCTGTGAGCCTGGATGGTACACAGGCATGTGAACACATACGTGCACTGCAGGACTACGATGCTCACAGCCACACTGTCCTGCCACCTCCTCGGGCAGCTAGAACTCCTCACGGTCACTGCCCCACATGGCTCTGCTCCCTCCCTGCCTCTCTCTCCCCCCTTTTACAAGTATGCTGAAACCCCGTAAAGGAGCGCTCCCCACTTCCCAGTCCAAGGAGGCTGCCTGGTTCCACTCCATTGTGGAGAGAAGGCCCTGCCTCCCTCTCTGCTTGTCTCAGGTTTACCCCAGGGCTGTTTTTACAAGTATGCTGAAACCGTAAAGGAGCGCTCCCCACTTCCCAGTCCAAGGAGGCTGCCTGGTTCCACTCCATTGTGGAGAGAAGGCCCTGCCTCCCTCTCTGCTTGTCTCAGGTTTACCCCAGGGCTGTGCAAAATGGAGGAGACCCAAGGTGGCTCCTGTTGGTTCTGCGGGGTGTCAGTACCCACACCCAGAGGCTAAGCAAGGCCTATGTCCAGCGGGAGAAGCAGCAGGCGGGGTCCCAGCGGTCCAGCCGGCCCTGCCTTCTTCGTGTCCTCCCTTCTTTAGCTGTGGCTCACCTGGTTCCTGTCTCTCCCTGCCAAAAAATTCTCTTTGTAGAGCCTTTAACAGTGCTCTGTTGTCACCCTCCACCTGGGGTCCATGCACTGTCCTCAGGGATAACATCTCTACAGACCCCAGCACTCACAGCCTACACTTTCACTTATGTATGTATTTATTTTTATTTTAAGTGTATGAGTGTGTTGTCTGCACATGTGTAAGTGCACCTGTGTCATGCAATGCCCTCAGAGGTCAGAAGAGGGAATCGGATCCCCTGGAACTGGAGTTACAGATGGTTGTTAGCCGCCGCCTGGGTGCTTGGAATCGAACCCGGGTCCTCTGCAAGAGCAGTCAGTGCTCTTAACCGCTGCGCCATCTCTCCAGCCCCGACAGCCTTATCCCCTGACTACACAGGAGCCTGCGTAGGAGACCCTGCCCTGTGATGAGGACAAGGGCAATGGTAACCACCCCGCACTGGGCTACTGAAGCCTCGCTGACAGTATTAAGGGGCTGCTCTCCAAGCAAAGACACGCACGGTCACCGAGGCCCCAGGGAACCGCCTGAGACACCAGCTGATGAGTACCAGCCTGGTGGCCAGTCACAGGGCTTGTTGGGAGGCTGGGCTTATCCTCAGAGTTCCAGCCCCAGTGTGTGCTGCATCAAGGACTGACTGGGTTCCTCCTGAAAGGGCTCTGACAACTCTGGGATGGTCTCTGTTCACTACAACTCCTGTCCCCTAGGGCATCAGGCACTGGGCTGGGGCAGGTGGCAGGGCCTGCCACTGGCTAGACTTCTGCGGATGTCACTCAGGAAGAAGTGTGGTCAGTTCTTCTGTGGGCCCCAGGGTGACCAGGCTTCACCACATGGGCCTTTCTTGTCTCCGAGCTTTAGAATTGGACAATGCTCAGTCCTGTCTCAAACTCAAGAAGGCAGCAGGTGAGAGCACATTTTCTGGTGAGGATAAAGAGCTCAGAGCGGGAGCAGGCTCAGGTAACAGCTTTCAACAGGTTTCCCAGGCCTAGACAAATGATGTGGGCTCCTGAAGTCACAGATCCTGTAGGTAGATGCCTGTCTGAGTGTCTGGCACATCTCAGGCCTCCTGAGAGTTCCCTGGCACAGCCCATGGGGAGCACGAGGCTGAGGTTCCATGACGCTAAGAAAGGGCTTTACTGTGGACCCAGATGGGCCGCCCATCCAGGCACAGTGGGACCAAACAGCCATACATGGTGCCTGCTGGGACACGTCCCCACGTCTGCTTCCCTGCCTGGTGCGGCAGCCACATGCTGTCCAGGGATCTTACTGGGTGCTGCTCTGACCCCTTGTCTTTATTTCAATGAATCTATTACTAAACTGAAAAATGAAACAAAACTGAACACTTCTAGAGCAACTGAGTTTTCCTCTTTTTAGAAAACGGTTAAAAGCATTTAAGATCCCAGTAATGACAGAGGGGGATAGGAGAGGGACATTTGAGAGACTCGTGGCTAGTCTGCAGCTAGCTGGACAAGGCGTGGCTCCTGACAAACAGCTTCCCCCAGAGCTCATCATAGGCGCCTGGCGTCCGCGATGCTGAGGCCCTGGCTGGAAGGCCCCAGGTATAGCTGTCACCTCTTTGGTCAGACAGGTGTGGAGACTCAAGCTCACAGGGATTCAAACTAGTCACATCTGACCCTCAAATCACCTAACCACAAACCCACTTGATCCTAAATATAATCTGTGAGCTGTGCACTCTGATCCTACTCACAATGTCAGAACAGCCGGGAGGTCAGGAAGGCATGGGAATCCCAGCATCCCCCCGCCCCCCCGCAACACCATGGCCTTCTAAAAAGGTGCACCTGGGGCTTGGGGGTGATAAGCTTGGCTGGCAAAATCCTTGCCTTTCAAGCAGAGGACCTCAGGTCAATGCCCAGAGCCCACATAAAGATGTTAGACATGGTGGTGTGTATGCCCAGAGCTGGGAAGACAGAGACAGGACCCCCCAGCTGCCAGTCTAGCCAAATCGGTGAGTCCCATGTCCCAGCAAGAGACCCTGCCTCAAAATACAACGTGGAGGGCTCCTAAAGACTCACATCCGAGGTGGTTCTATGACCTCCACATGCCCCCCACCAAAGGTTGCTCTGGATTGTACAGTATGGAAGTAGGGGTGACCTCACCCTGGTCCAAGCATCCTATTATGTCTGGAGGTGAGAGGGCTGAAGCTGAGTGAGACTCCCCCAGGCGGGGGGTCCCCTCTTAAGGAACCACCTCTTGGTAGTGGAGACACTCACAGTGAGCCTAGGGGACTATGTCCCAGTGATTTCCCAACAGAATTCACAGCCAATGCAAACCCACAAACTTGTCTACATGAGTGTTTCAGGTGGGCTGACCCTGGACTCCCCACTGTCTCTGGGGACAGTCAGAGTCAATGAAAGCCCAGTAGATACCAAGCCTTGGTTGGGTAGCCCAGGAGCATACCCCTAAATTCCACACTTGCCAGGATCACACTGGGCCTGAGGTTTGGGCAGGACAGGGGCACAAACAGCAGGAGGGGGGCCTCCCGACCCCGCTTACCTCCCCTCAAATACGACCCCATTCAGCAGCCCAAGTACTGTGAGACTGGTGGCCTTTCTTGCCCAGCAAACCTGTACTTGTGCATCAAAACCCTCCCAATGATCTCCTTGGTATCAGCTTCCCCTGCCTATCCTCTCGCCGTTGCAGCTCATCAGGGTTAAACTGAAAATGAAGGGTAGAGATGGGGCGGGGAGTAGGTGGCAGCCCTAGAGGAGGCAGCACAGGGTCACCCTGCGCAGCAACTCTGGGCTCCTGGGAGGGCATTCACTCCTCTCACACACCCCAGCATCCAGCATGGATGGAGCCTTGAAGACAAATATAGTGGGGAAAGGAAGAAGATACTGTCCTTTTTTTTACACTGGTGGTACTAGGACTGAACTCAGGACTTCATCTGTGCTAAGCAAGCACTCTACCACTGAGCTGTATCCCTCACTCCTTTTAAGGCCGGAATACCCAATCTTCCCACTTCTCCTGGGACTGTAGGCACGTGCCACCACACACCACTTACATTTCTGCTGTTTTATTGTTTGAAAAAAGTTGGACATTTAGTACTATATATTTTTTAAAATCAGGGCTGGAAAGATGGTTCAGAGTTTGAGTACCGGCTGCTCTTACAGAGGACTCAAGTTCAGTTCCCAGCACCCATGCTGGGCAGCTCCTAACCTCCTATAACTCCAGCTCCAGGGGATCCTCAAGCACCTGTATCCACATGTTCATACTCACACACAGACACACATGCATACACATAATTAGAAATGAGAAAAAAGCCGGGCGTGGTGGTGCACCCCTTTAATCCCAGCACTCAGGAGGCAGAGGCAGACAGATCTCTGTGAGTTCGAGGCCAGCCTGGTCTACATAGTGAGTTCCAGGACAGCTGGAGCTACAGGGAGACCCTGTCCCCAAAAGACCAAAAAAAAAGAGAGAGAGAGAGAAAAATCGCCCACAACTTGGAGTAAGGCCACAAATGTGCACACCCAAATTCACGCAGCCTGGACAATACCGGACCATCATAAAACACTCCAAAACTTGTTCCCTTAGGAGACTGGGGACAACTGATCTGTCCTCACAGAAGCGGTACCCCAAAGCTTTGGGGCTGTAGCCTCGGAGGGCATGGGGGAGCCTGTGAGCCTCCCTGTGCCCATGGGCCTCCTTGGCACCTGCTCTAGTTCACCTCTGGCCTCCCTCCAGTCCCTGCTGGAGAGCCACAGGTGTGGCACAGACTAGGGTACCTGCGGGCGGGGAGGGCGACTGCTGCACTTCTAAGTTCTGACTCGCCAAAGGGTAGGTACCGCAACCTGCAAAGCCCGCCACGTCCTGTTTTCTCTGGCCTTCAGAGCTTCCAAATTTCCCAGTGCTCAGGGGTGGCGCTGACAGGTCAAGCCCCGGCTGGGTGCCTGCGCACCGGGGTCGTAGCCCCCTTGCTGTCCCTCTTGTCCTCTGTCTGGGAATCAGATGGTGTGAGAGCCCCGGCATGCTGAGGTCAGGAGATGCCCATCTCGGGAACCCCTGCTCTGGGTTGAAGGGAGAGGGGGCCGTCCCCCTGTAGGATCAGCCCTCCAAGCCTGGAGGTGAAAAGGCCTCCATGATACCCGAGCCCTGTGGCAGGGAGTCACAGCACGTGGCCTGGCATTCTGGGCCACCACAGGTCACAAGAGCCCAACTGTCCCAGACATTCATCCATCTCCACAATTGCACAGAGATGCTGCTGCACATGGCCTGGGTGTCGGGGCGGGGGGGGGGGGG